GCTGATTCCCTGATGCAGTTAGCAGTCCGCACCCACATATCTGTAGCCTCTCCGGTCGATTCCCACGCACCTTTCTCCTGCACTCGCTTGGGCAACTCAGCGATGTTCTCCGCACTTAGTCTCCTCCACCTGATTTGTGTGTTGCCACTCAAAGCTCTCCTATGTTTCTCCCACCTGATCATAACATCCATCACGAGAAGCTTGTGTTGGGTAGTGACGTTTTCACTCGGAATTACTTTAGCATCCTTGCAGAGCACCCGATCACACCTGCGCAAGAGAAGATAGTCGATCTGTGTCGTCCCCACTCCACTAACAAATGTAGCCAAATGGTTGTCTCGTTTAGGGAAACACGAGTTAGCAACCACCAAATCACTCGCTCTGGCAAACTCCAAGAGTGAAAAGGGAATTTTCTCTGATCAGATGAGCTCGATGATTCTGTGTTAGAGGAAAAGAAGGTACAAATTCTATTTCAACCAGCTTTTGAGGGAGATTTTGAATTGATCTTGAAGGCTGTGGAAAGCCAAATTCTTGAGGCTTTGGCAAAAAAGTGCTATTGGATAAACTCAAATCGGGTTTACTTCAAAATATGTCGGGAAAGGCACTTAGAGCAACTCGTGAGACGGTGAAAAGCATGGAAAAAGTGAGCCTAATTCTCTTTGAAGGATCAAAATACCCAATTTTCTTTTCCTCCTCTAAACCTGATGAAAGGTTAGCGGCAGAATTCCTAACAGGGGTTCAAGACGAGGAATCACAAATGGTTAAATTTCAATTGTCTTCCAATTAGAATGGTTCAGGGGCTATCTTATAGTATTTTTTTATAGATGTTTTCTGTTTCGGTTGCACTTTAAGAGAATGGGCAGGGGCTATCTTCTGTTTTGGGCAAGCAAATTATGTGAATTTTGCAATAAAAGAGCAGAAGGGAGAAGAGGGAACCAGTTTAGGGGGTCACGGATTAGGGACTGAGGTTTGTTAAGGATGATTATGCTGATGACTACCTACTGCTAATTCAGACCAGAAGACGGAACCAGTTAGGGTAGGGGGTTCAGGATTAGAGACTGAGTTAGTTTACCTCAAACACTGGCGGTTCCTTAGATGTTTCTGAAAATTCTGCAATGGTTTGGGATGACCAACATAATGGGAAAGGGACTGAGTTAGTTTACCTCAAAGTTAGTTTACCTCAATGCCAGATGCAATGCTTGTTACTTGGATTTTCCTTTTTTTTCCAGCATGACCAAGAAAATGGTTTGGTCAGGGCAGTTTCTATTTGTTCCAGCTTTTGGGAATATGTTATCTATGGAGTTTTTATCTTTGTAGTTTTCCCTTTTGTTGTATCTTTGAGCTTAGTTCTGTTTGGCCATATTGTTGGGGCTACTGGCCTATATATATATATATATGTATATATGTATATGTATATGTATATGTATATGTATATGTATATGTATATGTATATGTATATGTATATGTATATGTATATGTATATGTATATGTATATGTATATGTATATGTATATGTATATGTATATGTATATGTATATGTATATGTATATGTATATGTCTATGTGTGTGTGTGTGTGTGTGTGTGTGTGTGTGTGTGTGTGTGTGTGTATGTATGTATGTATGTATGTATGTATGTATGTATGTATGTATGTATGTATGTATGTATGTAT